GCTGGTGTGGACACACCTCCCCTACCGACTGCTAGCTGAATGAAGCTCAGCACATCCACTGTGAACACCACGTGATGCTTGAACATGGCCTATCAGCACGAAACAGCTCACTCCAAAGCAAGTAATGGTTTATTCGGAGCTCCAATGTGAGTGACCATGGCCCAGAAACACAGATCCAAGCTGCCCCCAGTGACACACTCCACCATGGAGGTGGCTACATGGACTCTGCAGTCACAGAACGAAACTAAATCAATGCATTCCACCAAACACATTGGTAAGCAGGTCACAGCAAACAGGGAGAGCCTGGCTCTAGGTTCTAAATGATGATGCTCCTAGCTTCTGTTTGTGGAAGCTAGTGGTCTGCTAGGTTAGTGCATTACAAACGCTTTTACCTGGTAGTCAAAACAATGGGGGAGAATAGGTCAGAGAGTGAGAGCCATAAAAGCGGCCCGGTCGGCACGGGAAAGAAATCCATCAGGCAAGAGGAGGGCTGGAACCCTCTCTCCTCCAACACAACACACTGCGCCCAAAACAACTGGAACTGGCTGGAGCACAGAGGGCATCCCAGACTGTGTGAAGGTGATCTGCAGCTCATTATAAAACTAAAACACACACCCCCTGGGTGGAGATTTAAAATGCTAATTTTAAATGCATGGAGTATGCAGAGCCGGTAACTGCATTTGTGAGAAATCCTGTGCCATGCAAATGAGCCAAAAGCCACACTGTGCAACATAAAAATCCCCACCCTCGGCACAGTGGTTGCCCTTAAGCTTGCAGACTTGCCCCCAGCGCTGGCCTACTTCCTCCCGTGGAAGTGTGTTCTTTCTCAGCGAGTGCTCGCCTTTAATTGCTACCACCCATCCTCATGTCTCCATCCAATCCATCCTTCTGAGACACAAGCACACAGAAGCCGTTCAGAGGTAATCACAGAACCCCAAAACCTGCCTGTATCAAAAGAACACTCAGGTAGATACAGAGCTGAGAAACAAATAGCCCCAGATAATTTTGGCTTTCCATCTGCAACATTCCCACTTTAAACAATCACATAAGTTTTACTTGGTCAATCAGCCTGCAGAATCTTCTACATATGTGTGGTTCTCTGGGGAACCCTGGTTCCTCAAAAGAATCACATTACCCTTCATGTCACCGTTCTATTAAATGTAATGGTTATTTTAGAGTATACTCCTTCTACTCACAAATAATACTTTCTTTTAAGTTTACTGTAAATAGGGGCCATGTTACAACAGAGGCAGTCCTTAGACTGTTACGATCCACAGGAGCCTCTTGATTGTGTAAAGTGGACCGTGTGAAAAGACTGGTCTACAGACTCCAGTTTTATGCAAGTACCCTCTCCAATGTTGGCGCAGTGACATCAACCAACGACGACTCTCTCAGCATATTGCAGGTGGACTGATCTATGCACGTGAACATCGGGAGCACTGTAAGAACACACCAGCAGGGTGTTTACAGCTCCTGGTCAACCTCTGCCGCCGCCGACGCAGTGGCTGTCAACCTCTGCCGCCGCCGATGCCGTGGCTGACTGGACAGGTTTTCCATCCTCTGTGGTGGGGGTCAAGGATGCAGACATCTGCAAGCAGGGTGTGGCAGTTAGCTAGAGCCTGTACACAGATGGAAACAGGAAAAGTGTATACTCCATCCCTTCTTCAGACGGTGGTAAGGGACAGAGAGAAAAAAAGATTGTACTTCTCAGGCTATATTATACTCCACTGAGGTGGGTAACGACAACGTATTTATATACAATGGGTTTTCTATAAAATAGTTTAGGGAGTTCCCATTTTATCCTATTTTTTTAAGCTCAATTTTCAGCCTTAGTAACTATTGGAAAAAATAGGAGGGGAAAAAAAATCAGAAAAGGGAACTTGTGGGAAAGTGCTGTGAGTGCCTCTCCCCTCAGGCCTGCTCAGCTGTCACCATGGAGACGCCTGCCGGGTCCAGGAATGACTCCCTAGATTCACTGGCAGAGCCTTTGAAATGGAAGCAGCTAGAAGCACAAAGACAAACTTAATGTGCAGTCCTTGAAGAAAGCGCCTTTGACTCCTGCCTGCCATGAGCGAGGAACAACAGACAGCGGGCATGGCCGTCTCTGCTCCCAGGCATCATTATTTGAGGTGCTTTGCTACAGAGCGCCCGGGCCCAACTGTGCCTTTGCCTTGGGTGGGGCTCTCCCATCACTGTTGATGAAACACCCTGCAAGGTCCGGGGGTGCGTCCTGGAAAAGGGAGGCCGGGCCTTTGAGATTCTGTGGAGGGCGTGTGAGAAGCACCCTGGGCCTGTGAACGGTGTGCAGAAGATGCCCCTGCTCAAGGGCAGCTGAAAACACTCCCCTAGCTGTCCCTCGTGCTGCTGCGTAAAGCCTGAGGATCCTTCAGAACTGGGGAAGGCAGGCTGCCTGTGAAAAGGGCCTTGGGTTTCATCTTACTGTGACAAGGATCCAAATTCTGAGAGCCACAGGAAGAAGAGCAAAGTAAAAAGGCATGGAGGTCCAGGGAGTGCCCATAGCTTTACCCACAGAATTCTTCTGCAAGCATCGTGTGCAATGAGTGGTACTCAAAGCCCCTTGCCCGGGGCTAAAATGGGTGCTGGCCCTGAGAACCCACACGTGCAGATTCCAGACAGCGCAGTGGGATGGCATCTCTCACAGGGCGTTCCACAGATGCCGAGGTTCCCAGCATAGTTGGTACCCTCGAGGCTAATGTCACCACACCATGTGCCAATCGACACTGCCAACCTGGCACATTCTCTGTCAAGGCCTTGCTCCTGACGCATTGCTAGCACAAGTCACAGCTAGGAGGACCCTGCCAGGGTGTCTCCACACTCCCTCCTGAAAAGGAAGCTTGCCAGAATCCCCTGGTCCAAAATGCATGGGACCCCCTTTCTTCCCTGCACGGGCAAAGCCAGAGCCAAGTCTTGTGTTCTTCCCTTCTCTAGCCAGGCAACTGCTGACTTGCCTAACCTCGAAAACAAACAGGAAGTAAAGGCTATGCGAAGGCTCGGCTGCTTCCTCGAAGATATTTATTCTGATTTCCCGACAAGTGAGTTAATTGGATGGGCTCCCGTGACAGACATCCCAGGCGAAAACGTGTAGCTTTCTGCCAAAACAGCATATTGCGTACGTTACTCTACTTCCACACTGGGACTGAGAGCCACTGTGCGTCGGGAGCGGCTGTACGTGGACCCAGGAATCAAATGGGCCACGTGGACCCAGGAATCAAGCGGGCCACGCAGACCCAGTTCCACAAAAGCACTCATTCCCTGTGTGCTTTTGCTGTCGTTTGGTGGGTATTTCTGGGTTCAAAGTTCAAAGGCAGCCATGAGGGGGCGGGGAACGGAAGCATGTTTGGACATAACCAGCGAGAGCATCCCAGCAGGCAGGAAGGAATCACCATGTCTGACGCTGTCTCCTGGTCCCAGATTCCTTTGACACAGGCAGGTTCCCTCCACACATCCCCCTCGGTGTTCTCTTGCCCGTGGGACACGCCCACTCAGGCTCCTGGCTCACCCCCCCTCCCACTCCCCAACAGTGGCGCCTAACTCGTTCACTGATGCTCCAGAGAGGCAGGCCTGGTCCCAAGTGCCCACAGGGAAAGGCAGACACCAGGCGGGCCGTAGGCTCTGTCATCCACAGAGTCACCCAAGATGGCTCTGCCCTCTTCCGTCCTGGCCATGAGCACGGACCCAGCCTTCCTGCCCACCCCATCAGCTGGTCTGGAGCCAAGCACTGAACCTAGGAGGCTCCATTTTAACCCTTGCCACCACACTGTAGAGAAAGCCCAGTTTTAATCCCGAACTTGGAAACAGAGACACTGATTCAGATGGCTCAGGAAGAAAGTGGTTACTGATTGCCGCTGCTCGACAGGCAGGATGGTACTGATCTCCCTGAAGTTAGCCTTCCCCAGGGCAGGGCCCCAGGGAGCAGAGGCAACCCACTTTTAAAAGGGGACACCAGTTCAAAGCAAATGGGACCTGCCCTGGACCATGACCGCCAACACATTCCTACAACACAATTACCTCTGAGGGATGGGGCCCCAGGACAGCCACCGGGCCTTCCTCCCGGCAAATGCCAGCTGAGTATGGCATTCCCATGTGACTTCTGGGCATCCCTGTGGCGATGAGCCATTCCATTTTCATTTTCATTGATTTGTTCCTATTGATTAAACTTTCTTAAATGGTTTAAGTTGCAGCATGAAAGGTTTCAAGTTGGGATAAAACAAAACAAGAAAACAGCTATGTTTGGGGAGCCACGAGATTTTATACTTCCTTGTTAAGGCTTTGCCTACTAAGAAAGTCTATGCAGTCTCTCAATCTCTCTCTCTCTCTCTCTCTCTCTCTCTCTCTCTCTCTCTCTCTCTCTCTCTCTCTCTAGCTGAAAGTCCTGCTGTAGCCAGAATGAGTTTGAAGGGATCCAAAGGAAGCGACCCCTTGAGGTATTTGTAGCCAGCTTGATGATTCCCAGCGTAGGTGGCGGCGCTGGGCATGTTTCAGTTCAAATTCCAGGTCACAAACAGGCTGGATACTTACAGTCTGCACACTTACTTGTTTTGGCACACTTAATGTTCTCCATGAAAACCCCAACTTGTGGCGGAGATAACAATCAGTTGACATTAACCACCCAGGGCTGTGTGGCTCTGGAGGCCACCCTGGAGCAGGTCTGCAGGCCTCCTTAGACGGCGCCTGCATGCTCTGTGCATCAGAATAACCGTCCATGTGACCCTCCTGGTGTCTTTAGGTATGTAAGTTGTCACATCATGGGACACTGTCAGGTGTCAATCTCTCAGACACGCCCCTTTCCATTAAGGTGAACTCTGAGCCCCGCCAGATATTGTAAAAAAAAAAAAAAAAAAAAATGGCATCATAGCACAGATGACCAGCTTTTGCTCTGAAGGTTCTGACGGCCACACTCCTGTTTTATCTCTCCATGAAGACACAGTCACACCAAGTCTCTTTCCTGTTTTCCTTCGGGGGGAGCCAGAAGTACTCACCAGGTGTTGAAACACAAACTTAGGTCTTCCAATTGACAACTTCACTGCGCCGAAGGCTGTGTTGATTTCCGCCTAATGAGAGATCCAGGGTAGGCAGGAGTCTGGAAGATACAGCCCAACCACTGTTTACGCTGCTGCTAATCACAAGCATGTTTACAGGAAAATGGCCTCATCTGCTTCCCACAGCTCCAGCCACTCAGCCATGTGAGAGCTGTCTTCAAAGTCAATTGCCCGTCATTTTACTGATTTATATTGAACAGCGAGCAAGGACCCCGCGAGGTATTTGCAGCTAGCGTGATGATGCTCGGTTTATAAAGTGGCACTGGGCAGCATGTTTTGGTTCAAATTCCATCAAGACAGAATGTAAATCCCCAGCCCCGCCACTGTGTTCACAACGTGAACACTTCAGATAAGCGGGGCCATCAAACCCTAAAGGAAGGAGGAAATGCAACCTGGATTTCCTCAAACAGAGCCTGAGCCCACATCTTCTTCCAGACCTTGGATGTGAAAGTGACTCTCCCAGTGTTTAAAACAGCTGTCACATATGATTTTTCCCAAGAAGTGCCCGTGAGTAACAAAGGATAAGAATCATCAGATAAGGCCGTGTGACCTGGAAATTTTCCTATTTGCCCAGATTTTAACATTTCTGATTACTTTGGAGCCTTCTAACAGAAAATTTCCTTTGAAAATGTGAATCTTACAGAAAAGAGTGGCCTACTCACTTGCTAACCCATTAAGGTTCTGATTTCACTTAGAGTTCAGAGACCAGCTTCACTTCCGGGCCGTTCCCTCTCAATACCCCCACTGCCGCACCTCCCCATGTACTAAAGTATAGAAGCTTCCAGATCTTTGGGAGCTGGCTCTGACCAGCAGGACTCTCTTCTACACTTCTCCGTGCAGTCTTGAGCCACAGAATGCTGAAGACAGGCAGGATGGACGTGTTCAAGCCTCCCCTTACAGCAACCGGAAGCCACGCAAATGACTTAAAGACTGGCAACTGTATGCAATCTGTACTGCATTTCTCAACAACAAATTCATACAGTGTTTCAACTGAAGTTAGACTCAGAGGTCTAACTCAGCCCACAAAGCAAGGAAAGGGGGGCACAGTGACTTCCGGAGCTCAACAGAGCCCCGGGGAACCTTAAGAATCCAGGCGCAAGCCAGACGGAGCCATCCAAATGGAGGCTGACTAGAAGCTGTCCTGCCCGCTTCTCTGGCTCCCAGGGAAAACTGCTCACATCTAACCAATTCATTGCTTTTAATTCCTCTCTTCACGCTCCAGCTCTCCGCCCCCCACGGCCCCTTTTTCCCTATCGCCTGCACTATTTAGCCATTTCCAAGCTGTCTTTGTGCCTGATTTTTTTTCCCCCATCCTTTCCTTCTGAACTTCTGCAGCCTAACTGTCGTACCTCATCACGCCACTTGGTGGCAGTGTTTCAGAGCAGTCCCGAGCCCTGCAACGTGGCTCTGGGCTGGGCCGGGGTTCTTTCCAGCACAAACAACGGGGCGGGCGAGCAGACAGAGAACGGATTCGCTGGCGTGGTTGGGAAAGGATGAGCATTCAGTATTATGGTAACGAGGAACAGAGGTCTGTAACCTACCTGTCCGCGTGCGTTCTGTGCCTGCCTTATCCACAAGGCTGGCATCTGCTGTCACCTTAACAAAGGAATCTCAAATAGGAAAGCTGTTTGGGAGGTGTCCTTAGAAAGAATGACTATCACCTTCTGCTCTCCTCATTTTTTGATTTTTCAACCTGCCATTGGGCCCTGATTTCATCCACAAAAAAACATCAAACGAAGAGGAAGAAAGGCAGTCCCTGGAGCATTGTGTGTGTGCTGGACAGAACAGTAATGGTCTAATCCTTCTAATGGCTTTGGTCACCGCAGGATGTTAGCTATTAGAGGGGTCTGTTTCAAGGGGGGAGTGGGGAGAGGGGGGAAGGCAGGGCCATCTGCTGATTACAGTACAACCAGGAATGGAAAGGACATTTAAAGGGACACAGTCCACGGATCTGGACACAAGTAAGTTGTGTGTGGGTTTAAGGTCTATTTAGGGCTTGCGTTGTAGCGTCTGAATTATTTGCATAGTTCTAAATGTGATGTCTGGGGTGATCGATGATTCCAGGAACGACTCAGCTCCACCCCCTTGTCAAGAAGTCCGGAGGAGGACTATCAGGAATGTGGCCCCAAATCCTTCGCTGTTTACGTCATGGTCGGCTCCGGCTCCTGTGGAAGACAAGCCAAATGTTTTTATTACAAACAGATCGGAGCCAGCCCCAAACTGTGAGGAACACGGTGGATTGTCTGGCATTCTGCTCCAGTTCTCCCCGGCCCCCCGCCCCCAGCCTCCACATAAGAGACAGTTCTCAAATCCCACTGGTGGGCCACCCCCTCCGGCTCCCACCCCACCCCCTCCGGCTCCCCCATCCCACCCCACCCCTCCCCCTCCGGCTCCCCCCACCCCACCCCCATCCCTTCCTCTGCACTTTGCCTTCCCTTCCAGGCCTGACCATAAAATGAAGAAACTGAATTTTTTTCTCCCCAAGTGTGAACCATCAGGAAATAAAGGAAGCTCTCTCCACTACAGAAAGTTTGGGGGCTGGCCTTCCTGATGTCCAGAATGGAGATAAGACCAGGCTTCCCCTCTGGCTCCATAGGTAGTAACTGTTGGTCTATCTGGGGTTTTCTAGCCCAGCTCGATGAGAAAGACAATGTCAATTGCTTAGATATCCATGCATCCTCTCATTGAGAAAAATAGCGAACATCTGTCCCCTGAGCTGAGACTACGGACAGCCTTGAGGAGAGAGAGTTCCGGAACACAGACCAGGGAACGGGTGATGCTGGTATGGAGAGAAGGATACATGAGGTCACAGAAGCCATCACAGGGAAGCCAAATGTGAGATCTCGAAGAAAGAGAGTACTTCCAGCCACGAGGAGGGCCGGAGTTGGCCCGGAAGGTGGCCTCACACTGGTCAGGCACAGAGGACAAGAATATGAGGCTATTTATGAAGACGGCCAGTATGCGCTCCCGGGCTTGGGGAGCTCACGGAGAAAGGGGCGAGGCAGCCAGAAGAGCCGGTCAGAAGGAGAAAAACACGCCACCTGAAGAGTGAGGACAACCACACAGCCAGGCTCCACAGACAGGGGCACGTCCTGTAGAATCTGAGTGTTTTAGAAACGAGGCATAAGAGAGCCAACGGAGCAGGAAGTAGCTGCCATTGGCGTGATAGTTCATCCCGGTTCCAAGCAGAGGGAGCGTACTATGCAACCGCGGGCGGGGGGGGGGGGGGGGGGCGGGGGGGGGGGGGGGGGGGGGGGGGGGGGGGGGGGGGGGGACGACGTTGGGGGCTTGGGGGTTGAGGGGTGAGGACAAGGGTTGAACCTGGTCAGCAGCAGAGGGCGGCAGAATCAGTCAGGCTCCGCATAGACTAAAATGCGTGCTTCGTAACTCTGGGATCTAGGGACTGCCTCCAGCTGGGCACCTAGGCCAGAGGTACCCTTGAGAATAAGAGCTCAATAAAGGAGGAGGGTGGGGTGGGACCTTTGGTTGACTTGCCTCTGAAAGACAGGCTAGGATGGGAGTGGAGAAAGCAATGGATGACTAATCCTTGGATTTTTCCCTCCAGAGTTGCAAGCCCCCGCCACCACCGCCACCCCACCACCACACACACGGAGATGTCAAACCATCAGAATAGAGAAGATAAAAGGCGCGGTCAGTGCCCCATGAGATCATTCAGGACAGCGTGTCTCGCAGCGCCATCGTCATCCCTATGGCTGTCACTCCAGTGCTCTGCACTGGGTGACTCAGCCTCAGCCCCTCACTGACTCCCTCTGCTACTCCCTTCAGGAAGGAGACTCCCAGGAGAGGCTCAAATGGATTCAGTGGCCACCGGCCAGCACTCGCTGTTCTGCATGGGCACTGCTAGCCGCCCATGAATCAAGCGTCTACTCCTGGTCCAATCCATTTACCGGTGGGTCTCATGGCTTGGCAAGCTATGCTGAGAAGCCCTCCTTGGTGGGGTGGGGGACTGCGTCGGGAGAGATATCTCTGAACATTCCGAGAAAACAAAAGGAGCCGGCTCTTGGCTTTTCTCATACGAAGATTATAGAAACCAGGAAGTGAGTCCACGTCACCAGTGGCAAATGTGTCTGAGGAATCTGAACGAGGTGATAGGTGGAATCATCGTTTTTATACAGAAGATTAGCTTGGTAATCGTTTGTGAAATAGGATGGAGAGGAAAGTGCTTGGAGATGGGAGATTCATGGGGATCTTATGACAGGTCCTCATGGATCCTGGCACCTGGGGGAGATCCTGGCTGTGGTAACAGAGAAGAAAGGGGAGTTCCCAGGGACCAGCTGAGGGAGGTACCGCCAGGGCCTCGGAGCTGACTGGTCAGGGAAGGAGAGAGAGAACAACTCAGACAATGTTGAGATTAAGAGAAGGATGTCTCACGAACAAAACCCAGCAAAGCACAGAAAGGGGACAGAGGCAGGAGAATTCAATTTAGATATACAAATTGTGCTTGATGATGGACACACAAGTGATTACTTTGGCACCTCGGTAACCAAAATACTTGAGGAAGTAACTTACAGGAAGGAAGACTTATTTGGATGGCGGGGGATGGGGGGATGGGGGTTGGGGGGTTGGGGGTTGGGGGTTGGGAGTGGGAGGTATGTCAGAACAGCTCAACAATATGGTGGACGGGATGCACAGGGAAGTCACCAAAAGTGACCAAGGCAAGATGCAGCCCCAAGACCATCCTCCAGTGACCCACTTCCTCTAACCAGGCAGGAAGTTGCAACACCTTCCAACCATCTATTCAAATTTTGAATCCATCAGTGGATCAGCGTGTTCATTAGTCAGAGCCTTTGCCGTCCAATTGGCTTGAGACACATCCTCAACGGCTTGCCCATGGGTGTCCTCTACCCGTCTCCTAGACGACTCTCAGTCCAATCAGAATGATAGTCTAAATTAACTATGGCATGTGGTGGTAATCTAATTGTACTGAATTATTATTTTGATTGTATGTTAATAAATAAAG